CTCTAAATAATATTAGGTTTTGTCTAGAAAAAGAATCACAAATGAAACATGAAAGTAGAAAAGCACACAGCATGAGAAGACAGGACGGAAGCTCACGGTCCATAATGCTCACTTAATCATTTCTTGTGCAGTTTACAAAATAGTCAAAGTAATTATTACAAGGCCTAAACGTCGTTTCAGGGCATTTACACTCCAACTAAACCCCAGAAACTTGGACATGAATGTGATTCATTCAGCACGATGTGAGAGAGTTTGAGCATCTTTTTTCATCAGATTGTGTAAGCGGAGAGGATTAGTGAGACACACACACACACACACAGGTGGAGCAGAGCGGAGACGAAGCGCACCACTGCCACCGTAATTATTTCCCCACTATTTGACAGGTTGCCAGCAATTACCTGAAGCAGGACTCCTTATCTGTTGAATGGACGGCAGGTTCACACTTGTAGCCTCTGCAAACCCAGCCGAGTCCACAAATCCCCCCCAACACACAACCCCCCCTGCCTGCAGCCCTCAGAGGAGAGGCTGAAAAGAATGATGTGTGTGAAATGAGGCTGGTGAGGGACTATTTCTGCCTCCATTTCTTCCCTTTCATTCCAATGACACTTTTGAGAGACACATGTTTTGCTTCATCTTATCACTTATCCACTGAAGGTTACTTGCAGAGTGTGATGGCGGTAGAATAAGGACAGCTTCTGTCTTTAGACCCTCCAAGTCAAAGAGCCTGGGGGACGAGTGGGAAGGGACAAGGTGAGTCTTTGTCTCAACCTGGGATTCTGCTTTTGGTCTCCACCGACTACTGAGGCACATATCGGTGTCGTCGGCTGCTGAATGCTTTGGGAGCTAAATGGGTCAGTCTGCTGTTCCTGCTGATGAGGCTTCTCTATAGCAGAGAGGGCGGCTGGTCAATCACGATGGGAAAGTTGTGGATGGGACTAAAACTCACTGTGTCTGTGCTGTTTTGAATGAGCAGGCCAGTGAAGGACTTCATCCACCTGGTCATACAATAGAGTGGAAGTGTCAATGACGTGGGAGGAGTGATGTAATTACAGCTCAGCTCTCCTCGTGTGGCGCAGTGCTGCTCATTGTCTCTAGTTCCTTCATGCGTCATAGTAGTACTTCATAGACCCTCTACATGGGTCTATATTGGCTTATCTACTGTCAGTAGTACTGAAGACCTTGATTAGTGTGAGCCAGGGGTCAACAAGCGTTTTGAGACTGAGCTCCCTGAAGCAGGGTTCTTCCTGCACTGATTAAAGTAATAATTATAAAAGTGTAAAAGAAATGTTCAACTAGCTTGTCCAACTGATGCATTGGTATCAAAGAGATGCCTTTTCACTGTCTTTGGAACTATAATTCCATCTCCCTCCTCCAGCAAACCACTCAAACACTCCTCTCATGTCTTCTTCCCTTTTTTCCCTCTTGGAAGGGTTTTTTCATTTCCTTTGCCGATGGAGGGTTTCGGGACAGAGGATGTCGTATGTGTACAGACTGTAAAGCCCTCTGAGGCAAATTTGTAATTTGCGATTATGGGCTATACAAAAATAAAATGAATTGAATTGAATGTCACGTTGCAGCGGCTCCCAAGCGCTCCGGCCTCAATCTGCCCTTTGGGTTTGCAGCTTGCAGGAAGGTGATTGTTTGTGTGTGTGTGTGTGTTTACGTGCGCTGAACGAAAGAAGCGGACACTGTTCTCATACAAAGACAACTGGCTTAGATCCTTCAGGACTAAGCGAGAGAGAGACTTTGTAGGATCTGGAGCAGACACACTGTAGAGTGTGTCCACACACAGCATTCCTGAGCGGAGCAGGAAGTACATCCTCTCCTGGGTCTCTTTCCTGCAGGTCCACTCTGGGGGATGGTCGCCCACAGCGGAGGCAGTGTTCAGGACTGTGTACTGACCGATGGGCCCTTCTCCTGTAGTCCAACACGGGGGTCTTTAACAGGGGGTCCGTGGAGGTTCTGCAGGGGAGGTCGCAACATTTTTGGTTGATAAGACTATTTTTCTTTTTTTCAACAATTTTTTTTTCCAACAAATTCAAAAGTCTTCAGAATCAAATTTGCATTTATTGTCTTTAAATACACATTAACATGAATCCAACATGTTGTAGCAAACGGATAAATTAATGCAAGACACTATCTTTCAGTCCCACAGCAGCACTCAAGCTGGACACCGTTTCACTCACAGCACCAGCCAATCAGATCCATTCATGCTGATACGACATCACAGGCACCAGCCAATCAGATCCATTCATGCTGATACAACATCACAGGCACCAGCCAATCAGATCCATTCATGCTGATACAACATCACAGGCACCAGCCAATCAGATCCATTCATGCTGATACAACATCACAGGCACCAGCCAATCAGATCCATTCATGCTGATACGACATCACAGGCACCAGCCAATCAGATCCATTCATGCTCACGTCTAAAGAGCCAACCTCAAAAATAAAAGATGGCGAACCAAACTCCGTAGAATAGGGGGTTCCTGCTCCATCTGGCCATCAGTTTGGGGGTCCTTGGCCTGGAATAGGTCTCTAACCTCTAACAGGTGTGTCTCTTGTGTGTGACTGTAGATCACAGGTACATCAGGTCCCCCTGCAATGGGCTGTTTGGTCCCTGGCTCCGCTCGGCCCGTTGTGTCCAATAACAAGAGACTTTAGTGTTAATGGACATGGATGTTGCACCTTGCTTGTAGTGTAAAACAAGAGCCATGTAATGTAATGTAATGGGGGCGGCAGCTCAGCTCAGTACATGAGGAAGACGGGTTGTCTCGGTCCGGCCATGAAAGAGCTACAACGAAAGCTGTGGTTGTTTTGCTTTATACATATATGTGTATATATATGACTTTAAGAGTCACCACATCTGGTACAAAACGGGCCAGAACAGGATTATCAAACACATATATGAATGCTTCTCTGGGCTACAATCTGGATATTGTATGTATGTTTGATCATTCTGCAGCCCCTCAGGGTGACACTGTACCAGGGGGCTTCAACTAGTGTCAAGAGGTCCAGTTAGAGAAAGTTTCTAGAAGCAAAGGTCCGGACGATCAAGACTACTTAGTGTGATTAAATAGAGGAAGAGAGTTGGATCAATATTTGCATTTAATCAATACACGACTAGCAAATCAAATGAATTCAGTATGATTCTAAAACTCTTTTGACTATATATATTGTCATGTGACAAAGAACTGAACATAGATGTGTCAGGTGTGTGCAAATATACATAATGTCATCAAATAAAATGCTTCATTTCAGGAAAAAACGGAAAGATAAGCTTGGATTCCCTCTTTTCTGCTTCACGTTTGGACTTGACAGTCTCAGCAACTTATAAATAATACATCTAAACAGTTTAATAGAATATATATATATATATATCTTAATGCATCAGGTTTAACTCGAATGCCATTGGTCTGTGCTTCAAGCCACTACTGTAAAGACGACCAAAGCTGCACCGGTTGAAAAGTGCGCCGTCGCGTTTAAATCACAACCGTCTTTTTTTTGCTTTTGGTCCGGATGGGACGGCTTCTGGGTCCGGATCCGGAAGCCGTCCTCTGCTGTATAGGATGTAATGCCCGTCACATTCTTACATAACATGCACTGTGTATGATACACGATAACGTTGTCACCCTCATTAGCCGATGCCACACCCAGTAGACACATATGGGACACATATGATTGACACATTGATGTGGTGTCTTATCTATTGCTGTCATTTCTGATTTGAATTGACCAGCTGCCCCTTACTCACGTTCTTCTATCAACCCCACACACCCCCAGAACCTCCCTGCCCCCCCCCCTTCCGTCATCGCCGCCTACTTCCAGAATAATGTCAGAGATCAGCAGTGATCTGGTCCTCTCTTCATCTACAGTCGGCCTGCAGCACATTGCAGTTCTTCTCCATTGCTTAAGCACCATTTGGATGGTTTAGTTTTGCTTTTCAAAACAGAACACACAGTTGTCACACCCACAGTCAATTCACAAAACACCTCAGATCCTTTGCAAAATGAAACACTAAAACTATACACTAATTCATCAAATCCATATTTTGTTGTGTATGACACACGTTACATATGACTTCATTCTCTTTGTAGCAGTTACACACTGTAAGTGAAGTACACAGAGAAAGTGCAAAACATCCCCCACATTTGCACCACTATAAGCACAATGTCTGCTCACACTTTATGCAAAACAAGACACACGGTGATTTGTAAAGCGCTTAGACGCTTGTATACATTCGACAGCACACAAGACCAATGCAGCAGACCGATGAAAAGATTAGTCAACATGGAGATTTACAACAAGAAACAACTCCCTGTTTATCTGCATCAGACAAACATTGTATCCATTACTAAAAAAAGATCTAAAAAGATCTAGAAATACAATACAGCAAATGCTACACGTTGTCTCTTCATCTAGCTCGATCTGGCCTCCTCCTCCTCTGGGGATTCCCCTTCTCACCCTCACTCTTCTCATTCCTTCCACTTTGATTGAAGAAAGATGAACCTGGTGCATTTTATAGTGCTTAAACCTGATTGAAGTGTCTACAATTTAGCAATCTTGTGTTTGACTGCTGTGTTTGACCAATTGGAAGTGACATCTTGATAAACTTATGCTCATAGTGGTGCAAATCTGGGCCGAGGTTTTTGCTTGAGTGTTCGGTTTGGATAATTGTGTGATACTTTGGATTTTAGGGTATATTCAATCGTAAAAAACGGTAAACTGACTAGCTATAGACAAACATTTGCAATATAGAAATCTATGAATCAAAAGAGCAGACTAGCGGCATGTTGCTCAATGAATGAAAAGATTTTCAGGTTTGCGAGGCTACTAGTCTATGATTCAACCATTTAAATGTCAGGGAAATTAGGTTTCTTTTGAATAGATGTACAATCCACACCGACTCCGACAGCATTTGCCATATGTGAAGACTGGTTATATTAGTTAGACATTCCAGTAACAACCCGTGTGTTTTTTCTTCCATCATACAGCTCTGAAGAGATCCTTTGACATCGAAGATGTTGACGACATACCATCCTTCTCTACAGCATCAGCTGTCTCCACCCCAGTTTCCCCCTCTTCTGCCCACTTCTTCCTCCACCACAACAAAGGCAGTGAGGAGCTGGGAGGGGGTGGCCATTCCCCTTCAGTAGCCTACAATAACAACAACAACGGCAGCCTGGGCCCCCCAGCCCACCACCGCGGGGGTGGTTCCATTCCAAGCCCAGTGCTCAAGTCCCGAGCTGTGATCAGCAGCCGATCCTTCAACAGAGGGACAATGAACAAGTCGGCCAGTCAGAACAACGGCTCTGCAGTATCCAGAGCAGCATCCTTCCAGAGCAGGTCCAACCCCAGTGGTTACTCCATTTTGTGTGGGCCAGGCAGTGACAACGACAGCCTCCACAGCTCCACGTCCAGCCTGGAGTACTCTGGGGGAGGTGGGAGTGCCCTACCTTCTACTAAGCTGGGGGCATATTTTAGTCCTCCACTTCGGGGGGAGTACCACCGCACACAGCCCCAGGTTCCACAACAACCCAGACAAGGGGGTGCCAACTTGGGAAACAACCCCCACTTAAAGAAGTTCTCCTACCATTCAAGTGTTTTCCACTCTGAGATGGACCAGGGGCCAGGCATGATTCTGGGCGTACCAGAGCGTTGCGGGGAAAACCATGGCTCCATCACCAGCCTAGACCTCCAAAGTTGTGATGGAGGGGGAGGAATGGTCGGCATGCAAAACGTTGAAAATGGAGGATGGATGTCTCCGGGGTTAGGGCATACCAATGCTAACTGGAATAGTTGTCTAAATAATGCCAGTGGCTTTGGGGAGGAGGGATACAGTGGCTCCAAAAAACACTACCAACCAGTAGAGACCCGGGTCCTGAAGACTCCCCAGCCGAAGACCAAAGAGCCTTCGCGTCTCAACAAGTTTCCCTTAGATCTGGACAGCTTGGTAAGCAGCACCACAACCACTTCTCCCACCAAGACTCAAGGAGGATTCCTAAGCCCCAACACCCCCAAGCCTCCCCCAAGGAGTACAGGAGGCCTTCAGCACCACACCAGTTCACCATCCGCCTCGACCAGCCCTTCAGCCTCTCTGAGCAGTCTGGATGGTGCTTCTGACACCCCTCCCCTCTCCCTCCACCATCCTTTTTTCCCTGTCTCCCCACGTTCTGTACCGCAATTAGAGGGATCAATCCCTTCCTCAGAGATCTGCTCCCAAGGGCCCCTTTCTCCTGCTGAGAGCCCCCAGCAGAAGAGTCTCTCAGGGCCCAAAGTTGCTGAGGTGGTCCCCTTCCTGCCTCCTTCCAGCCCCTTCAGCCCCAGAGCCATTTGGTCCGTGGCGGATAGCCAAGGCGATGGCAGAGATAGCGTAGGCTCAATCTTACAGAGGATCGCTTCCTTCTCCCAGCATGCTGTTACTGATACCACCCCAGCAGCATTGACCCAAGCCCCAACAGTTCAAAGCAATGGTGGGTTGTCATCTGAAGTTGGCTGTCCAGCTGTAACCATCCTCAAAGAAGGGAGGAAACCTCAAGGTAAGATGTTTTAAGTGCTGGAATTGTACCATCATTTATAGCCATAAACAGGTGTTTGTCCTCGGTGGCTAAATATCAAAACAATAAAATAAGATGAGGGTGTTTAGCTGTGTGCTTGCATGTTGTATTCTACCTTTCCTACGACCACCAACATGAAAAGACAAGCACACGTATTGAACACTGATTCCTTCCCTACAAGCTGCCAACATGTCAGCCACAATAGAGTGAGACAATGTGCAATGTGGTAAATTGTGTGTAGTTTAGCTCTGACTTTTGGAACAAGCTATTTTCAGTCTGCCTCCTCCCAGGTGGCCTTCGGCTGCTTCCTCTAATAACAAAGTCAAAGCTGCTGTTACACGTTGGTATTGTTGTTTGTGTGGCCCCAGTGAGCCGGAGCTGGGACATCAGCATCATATGTCAGACCAGAAACAGTGAACACAGCAGACTATTGCGTTGGTTTGGGATTAAGGACCAAGCGTAAAAAGGGGATTTAATCATTCAGATATAATCAGACTTTGAACGTGGATACCACATGGATGCATGTGGTATCCGGCCTTGTTCCAATCCCACTGTGATGAAGAGTGAGGAGGCGCCTGGATGCTTACACAGGAATCTCGTCCCGTGCACATTGACAAACTGGCGTGTGAGCGCTTTAACAAACAGGAGACATCTGTTTCAAGGCACCTGCTGGGATTCCCCCCTCGCCTCCTTTACCCCCAGTGGAGAATAGTAGAGTCTATTTGTAGAGAACGTCTGCTGCTCTCAAGAAATGGGGCCTTTTATATGCATTCAGAGATATATAGGATGCTTATATTTGGGCGGCTTGCATGCATTCGTAGCATACTCTGCTTGGGTGGAGGGCTCATTCAGAGGCGACATCCACCCTGGGACTCAATAGCAACAACATGTGACCCTCCCTGCTGTAAGTGGAGGCTCCTGTGCAGTAATGGCCGTTCACAGGAAATGATTGTTTTGTTCTACACGGGGCTTTACTCAGAGCCTCGGTTTCCCATAAAAAGCTGTGGGGTGGGGGTTCCCAGACCCCTCCACCCCCCCTTTCTCTGCACTCCGAGATACAGAGAGGAAAAGTACACTCAGACCGTAAAGGAAGTAGTGTAAAACAGTCCATCGGCCACCATGATAAATACAACTCATTCTGTTGCAATCTACCTTCTTCTCTGACCTCCTCTGTCTACAGCCATCATGTCCTGGCTTGTCCCCCCCCCTCCACCCCGTCCGTGTCTGTCTCTGATTCAAGCCTTAATGACAGTGATTTAGGGAATGAATTCCTCCCCAGCAGATGTCTAAGCCCTCATCCTGTTTCCCTCTCCTCCTTTTATCCTCTCTGTCTCGATGCTTATATTTATGTTGCATGAATGTCAAGCAAAGTTTCCAGGATAGTCAACTTGTCTTCAGCCTCCTCTCTCCTCGTCTCCTCTGAAGCAATCTCTCTCCTCGTCTCCTCTCTAGCCTCCTCTCCCTCTCCTTGTCTCCTCTATAGCCTCCTCTCCCTCTCTCCTTGTCTCCTCTATAGCCTCCTCTCCCTCCCTCCTCGTCTCCTATGAAGCAATCTCTCTCCTTGTCTCCTCTATAGCCTCCTCTCTCTCTCCATGTCTCCTCCATAGCCTCCTCTCCCTCTCCTTGTCTCCTCTATAGCCTCCTCTCCCTCTCTCCTTGTCTCCTCTATAGCCTCCTCTCCCTCCCTCCCTCCTCGTCTCCTATGACGCAATCTCTCCCCTTGTCTCCTCTATAGCCTCCTCTCTCTCTCCATGTCTCCTCTATAGCCTCCTCTCTCTCTCCATGTCTCCTCTATAGCCTCCTCTCCCTCTCTCCTTGTCTCCTCTATAGCCTCCTCTCCCTCTCTCCTTGTCTCCTCTGAAGCCTTGTCTCTCCTAATGCTTTTGCCAATGATGATGTATCATTTGACCCCCCCCACCTTCTGCATCCTTATTTTTAGTGGCTAGGAGTCCCATCTCCGTCTCTGGAGTGATCCCTATATTTTGTCTTTGCCAGTCGACCTGTTATCATGCTTTCTGTGCAACAGGAAGTAGTTAGTATGTGTATCCTGTAGCAGTAGTCTTTAGGGGGCCAGGGTCTGTCTCCTGACCCACTGCACTTGAACGCCATCCGGCGCCCAGGAAACGACTAATCACATGCTCCGTACTTCTCACGTCATGCTACTGATAGTTAGTGCCCTCGCTGGAGTTGGATAACGACCAGCAGTAGAGACGGGCAGAGGGACACAACAGCTTTGTTATTCAGTTATTATTTGAAAGTTATCCATGGAGCGTTTACCAGCATGAGAAGAGAACCAGACCAGAGCCCTAATTAACCGAGAATAAACCGACTCAAGTATGTCCTAACACCAGTATGTCTACTATGGACGTAATGTCTCACACCACATCACTCAGTGTGTTTACATGATGGTATAATTGGAATCTTTGCTTAGTCGGACCATGCTATCTTTCGGGGAAACTGCTATTATCCCAATATACATGGCAGTGAATAAATGAAATCATTGGCCGAAAGCACGTCATATCCGATACGATAGGTGGCGCTGTTTTCATTACAACTAGTTGTGATACAGCCATTTCCGCTTGACCTCTTCACCACTACCAACAACAACCAACAACAACAACATCAACATTACGAGAAAGATGGCGAACGGAGAGCAAGGTGAAGCTACATCTCTACTGTCTGTGCATGATGTTAATAAGAGTACAGCGAATGCAAATGGCGCTATTGGCTGATTTGATAACGGAGAGAAGAAGCCGTCGGGATCTCAAGCATTCGCAAAGACGCAAAGTCCAGTTCCTTATCCGATTCACAGTTACATGCCGCAATAGTTGCACTATCAACTGGATCGGATCGAGTTATCCAGGCGTGTTAGTCGGATCGTAGTCGGACCGCACATAGTCAGACAAAGGTGTTTACATGAAACGGATCATTCGATTTCAGTCCGACTAAGCCAGTTATTGGAATCCATGTAACCGCGCTGAATGTCTTATTCACTTGGATTTGAAATGACAGTCCGTTGTCATGGCGATGAGGAAAGTGGATCTTACTGGATTTGAAAAGCCCGGCTCATTGGTTGGAGTCTACGTCAGTGAAAGAGGGAGACCAAGTGAATGGACGTCCTCCGCTGTCCGTCAACACGCTGCCTACCAGCACTGATGGACATCTGTTGAACGGAGAAACCACCAACCTTCTTTGAGGTGTCCACCTCGGGGCTCCATGGCTGGTTGGCTGATCTGGGACCTGCCAATAGATGGTCAGGGAACCTCCTCTCTGCTGCCTATTTTTTCCTTCCCTTCAGTTCAGATTGGAGCCTCACTTCCTGTCCAGTTGTTTGGTTCAAGGCCCTGAAATGTGTTTCCTACACCAAATAAGATTCCCCCCCCCCCCCCCCAGACACACACACACACACTGTAGACCAAAGCAGGCCCCTTGGTACGGGTCAGAGGTACTGTGGGGAACCAGGAAGGATGAGTGGAGGAGGCCTGTGCTCAGCAGGCTGGATGTTTACAGCTGAACATTATTTATATGATATTCCCATTGATGGTTTGTACAGTAGTTTAGGGAGATGATGGAATCGATGATGATGATGATTGACGCTTTTGAGTCATCCTAGTAACCTTTTGAATGGTCGTCCTTCAGTCCTGTGACTGATCTGTCATCTCAAGAGGGAATAATCTTTCATCAGATCCCAATATTTCAGCATCTGTGACAACATGCTCAGTGTGGAGCCGTCAGCACTGATGCTAACATCTGGCCCCGGTACTGACTCAGGCAGCTGTGAGGGAGCCCATCTATTGTATTATCTGTATAATAACCATCCCAGTCCCCCCACAGCGTGAGCTATACTGTATGGGCGAAGAAAAGATGGATTTGTTTTTGATCTGTTGCATCCTGTTGGAGTAGAACAAGCGGGGGTTCGCTTTTTAATTTGTATTAATCTCTCGTCAGTCTAATGGCCACCGAGCGGTACGGTACGGGTCGGGTTGGTACCCTTTTATTTGTGTCTCCACTGCCAAAAGTTGAGAATGGTACCAAACATCCGAACCGTACCGTACCACTTTTTGGGTTCCCTTCCGTTGGGGCACCTGGCACAGTTGTTTGGTACTAAAGGGCGGAGCTAGACTCACTGCAGAACGTTGATTGGTTGAAAGAGTGTCGTCATTTGCGCGTGCCACAAGGGGAAAGATAACACAAGATTGTCGTCTCCTTGTGACAAACAGACACATATGGAGAAGCAGGAACAGGATCGGCTGTACGTCCTCCATTGTTGTTTGCGGTTAGCTTTCAGTTTTCGTGCGATCGAATGACGTCAATCTACTTTTCCGTCACATACCACGCCTATCAAGTAAGGGTACTGTTGGCGGTGGAAACGCTCGCCAAATCATGGTTAACAGACCCGACCCGTACAGACCCGACCCGTACCGCTCGGTGGAAACGCGCCATAAAGGATGAATTTATGATGGAATTGGGACTTTGAATGATCCTTTCCATGGTTCTATATAATATAATAATATTATATAATATTCGTTGTGATGGAGCCCTTTACAGGAAACGATGTCCTTAGATGTGACTCAGCCAATCAAATATCCGTAATCTGAGACAAAGACTATTTCACAGGACACCAACCTTTACACAACATAACTTTCTCCACAGTCTTAGATGACACATAGAGGCCAACTGAAACTATAGGAGCCTACTTCCTAATGGCGGCTTGAGGACATTCTGGAGGCCTACACTGTGTGTGTGTGTGTGTGTGTGTGTGCTCACCTACCTTTGGATCAACAGGAAACTGTAAAGCTTGAGCACTGTGAGCCTGACTCATCTTTAACAGACTGTGGTGTAATAACGGCTCAACTTACAGTACAAAGTGGCATCCACAGCTTTTATTATGTCACCTCTCAGCTATTCTGTCTAAAGGTTTACTGAGACCAGAGGAAGACGTCTGTCTCCCTGTGTTTGTGTGTGTGTGTTTTTTACTGGCT